GTAGCGCGACGGAAAGATTTACCACACGGGCAAACACTAGACATTTTCGAAATAACTGATTGCATACCTTCAGAATTATTTCTACTATACATTCCAACTAGTCGGCCACTTCGAAAGAAAGCGACAAGTTCTACTTTATATACCACATTTTGCGTTCAGTTCGGCCCAAAACATTTTACGTTATCTTTTCTTTTCTTCAAACGCTCGTTACGTATAAGAAATTGCGGCGCCGACTAATGTGCTTAGATAAAATAACAGCTATGTATCGTCGTCGCTAGTGGACCAGTGTGGAGCACAGAATCCTCCCCGTTGAATAAATCACCCATTTTTCACGGCTTTTCAGACAGTATGTCTAAGGTCAAGGTGCCCTAGGACACCTTGTTCACTACTTTGTATATACGAAATTGTAGCGCGTGAAATTCTCTATCGAATGGTATATGTATCATCGTGGCTAGTGGACAAGTGCGGAGCACAGGATGGTCACCGTTGAATAAATCACCCACTTGCTACGTCTTTGCATAAAGTATTTCTAATATCAAGGTGCCCTAGGATACTTTTTTCACTACTTGGTATATATGAAATTGTAGCGCAGGGAATTCTCTATCGAATGGTATATGTATCGTCGTGGCTAATGGACAATTGTGGAGCACGGAATCCTCACCGTTGAAGAAAGAAGAGCAGAACTTTGGTTTCAGTAAATTCGGCCTAGTTTTTTCTGAGAGCATTTCTAAGGTCTGCCAAGTGGCTAGAAATGTTCTGCGGTTCATTCTGCATCTAACCATGTATGTGTCGATGGAATTCAAGCAGGGGCCGATTTCATCAAGTAATCGCCCCCGTCCTTTGAGTTTTGCCTAGAAAAACTTCAGGCAAAACTCCAATTTAAGTTTTGCCTAGGCAAATTTGAAATTTGCCTGAATTTGAGTTTTGCCTACAACATATACGTATGAAAGAAAAGGCGCAATGTTGTTGTTAGTTATAATTTAAATTTTGTATTATTCCGAAAAGTGCGTGCAGCTCCTCCAGCGCACTACTACGATATTCTTGTCACACGTAAATGTGAAATTCGTGATCAGCGTAGAAAATGCTATCGATTGGTATAATTTTATCAGAATCGGCTCGGCGGAAGCGAAGATAGGAAAACCTCCGAATCTCACGAATAATACGGAAAAAAGAAGTGCGATTTTACTAGAAGACAGAACAGAGTATCTTTTCTTACTGCCTCTACCATTTGAACCAGAAAAGTATGATTAGCTGACTAAGAAATGCTCCTTTCTTGCTTGTCCACACTATTTTCACTGGGTAAGTGCTGATCTAGTTAAATTTTAACACTCTTATGTTCGTACCGTACTGATTTATGTTGTAGCACGATTGCGACATAAAATATGCTTTCTATGATTTGACTGTCAAATTATATACCGTACTTGTCCGGGATAGATGGGGACTTGTAGGATTTCTCGGATCTGAATATTATTCCCTACCTAGAGTAGACAACCCTCAAAGTCCATGGACTCCTTTTCCCTTCCGTATGAATGCGATCGAAATCGAAGACGAGAAACTAGCGTACGCTAGGCATATGCGATGTATTCCTCGACCAGATCAGGCATTTGGCAACTATAAACAATTTATTCGAAGTGCCATTGTAATTCTGTTGTTTTTTCTCGCTTTATTTTCGGAACCTTTTCCACTATTCTGTTTTATCTTGTCTGAGAGATTTGTGTTCACTAAAACAAGCTAATCTGGTTATAACAAATCTAATGAAACCCAACCTGTATATATTAATCGTCACATGGGTGTGAGTGTGGATGTCTAAGTGAAGATCCTCTCACCTACGTCAACATGCACATCATTGCTTGTATACCTACTTTCGTCCTCGGGACAGCTATGGTTTCATTATAGCAGAAACTTTTTTTATGAAAGAATATTTCGAGACATTCAACAGTATATCATTCATTTTGAAGAATACTTAAGATCTCCCAGCGCTGGGGGACACTCTCTTAGTGTAGAAAGCTATTGATGAGCTGAGTTAGGGCACGAACTGGATAATAATACTCTTATGAAGTATTAAATCGTTTGTTGAGAAAAATAAATCCAAAAAAATTTGATAAATGGAACGCAACGGTTTTTTATTTTCGTTTACTGTATTCGAAAGCATATGATTGGAATGACAAAAACAACAGAAAGAAAGCCATCGCAATCGTCAGTTACATACAGAGTTAATTGATTCAATTTGATGCAAGGGAAAAATAGCTGATCCCAGGGGACAGAACTACATAGAATCATCGGAGCCATACGAAATAACTCAAACTCATTGCAGGATCTTTGCAATCGCGAACTACCGAATCTGAACTTTCACAATACAGATTTATAAGTTTTCGCATGTATCCGATGGTGTCACAGTGCCGGTCCCGGGTAATTTTTGGGACTGCTGATCCCTAGTGAATTGCAAGTGCCGCCGATATAGCTGTAGATGAACTGAATACTCACTCTAGCCTCACATACGAATGAATTGTAAGGTCTAAGGGTAAGAGTAATCGATATTCTACAGGAATAGAACGAATCGAGTCGATTCGAAAGTTCTTAGTCTTCATCAATCGATACTCTATTCGTTCTGTTTTTCATAAATACAATTGCTTACAACAAGTAATGCCATGTAACTAGTTACACAGAACTTTTGCTCTCAACAAACGATTAGCAGATGAGTATGTTTAAAAATTGAGCATAATATGGTGGTGAACGTCGTGAACGAAATGACACCAAACAGTGCTGTTATTTGACTCGATACCGAATACGTATATCCTTTTGAGGAGGTGGTATACCAAACCCTTGACGTGATTTGAGCATGGTAGGTTTTTTTATGGTTTCGCAATCATCGAAAAAGTCAATATCAAACTGTTTGATCATCGCCACAATTGTCCATTTAATCACATTTTTTCCAAGAAGACGTCCCGGACAAACAAACTTCCCTTCACCAAACGGCGCGTGGATTCGGCGAGCAGCTGCGCTTGCTTGATTCGGACTACCGATCACAAAACGATCGTGGACAAACTCGTGCGGACGTGGAAAGTATTCTTCATCAATCTGCGACGCGAATGGAAAAAGAATTAAAATATCATTTTCTGCAAGTGAAATTTCATAACCAGCATTGACTATCATGAGTTTCATATCCTGCATACATTCACGTACGATAAGTGCATTTGCCGTAAGACGCATAGTTTCTTCCATCACACCATCTAAATGAGGCATTGAATATATAAGATCATCTTCCTTCGCTTCAGACGATGCACTTTCTATCTCGCGGAGTATAATCTCGTAAATATTCGGATAACGTCGAAGGTAAAAATAAGTCCAGAAAATGGCTGGAATAACATTTCCATAAGCTGCCCACAATACTGCCATGTTGATAGACCCTACATCTTCTTTCGATAATAAACTGGCTAATTCATTTAGTTTACTAACGAAAACATTTTCGGAATCATCATTTTTCACCGATGATAATCGTTTGGCGATTTTATTTCTTGATCGAATCAAATTCGGCTTAAACCAACGATATGGTGCGGGATAAGCAAGAAGATGAACATCAGTGTCGAAACTTTTCAAGTCTTTAACAATCGAGCGTGCATCAACACTTGAGCCGAAAAGAGTAGTTGTGATGGATTCGTAAACAAGTGTTGAACATAAATCATAAAGACCACTTTCGCTCCATTTCTCACCGTAATCCAAACATTCACGAATAGTCTTCTGAAGATTGACAGTATGTCTACTTGTCATTTTTTTCAATTCGATTCCTTCAAAAATGGTGCCAAAGTCGTGGATATTTTCGGGATTCACAAACATTTCTACGTAGCAAAGAGTTTTATCAAAATGATGTTCATTTTCCTGCGAGTAATGTATTCCGTCTCTTACCGACAGTTTTATCACTAACACCAAACACTTGAGCGACTAGACCGTCAGGTATTCGGATAAACGCACTTTTTGAAATCGTTTTTCTTCCTTCAGGATCAGTAATAAAGAAAATACGTCGTTTTATACCCCAAATCTTCAAATAGAATGTGGGACCGTAGTGTTTACGTGCCGCCAAAATAGCTGGAACAAGACCTTGGACGAAAAATGTAGGGATATAGAAGAGCAGAAGAATTAACGTGTCAATTTGAGCAAACATTGCTGCTTTTCTTACAGTCATTGGAGAGAACTGTCGGCGGAATAGGTAGAAAAGTAGCAAAGAAAATAGCGTGGTCACAATGAAAAACATCAACATGGTTTATTCGAAATATATTGTGATATACGTGTGTATCGATGAGAGATAAATATTTTCATGTGATACGATGCAATTATATACGAAGTAAGAAGAACGTATCCCACATACGATTCACGCATCATTTCATCGCTCGCAAAAGGTAAATGGACATGTGATGAAAGCACGTGACTGAAAAAATGAGTAACCTTTAGAGCCCTCTCCCCACTCAGAGAATCAATTTTTCGATCAAAAGTCGTTTTTTCGTTTTTCATCTAGTCTTGTAGCCCGAAGAATTCTCTTTCAGAATATGTATATACATATATACATACCACCTGAAAATATCAGAACTACGTGTCCTGATATGATTGTCATCAGAGAAGGTTATTAGCTCAATGGAAAGTCTTTGAGGAGGTTTCCAGGGGCTTTTCAATGTTTTTGCTCAGCTTAAGATTGGAATACAGGCTAATTTGATCTCCATTAAAATTTCTGTTGCCAAACAGCTGAAGAATGATATTATTTCTGCATATTCAAGAGCCGCTTAGACCATATCTGCCACCTTTGGAAACGAAGTAGTGAGTTTTTCAGCCGTTTTTCTTCTTGTTTTCTTCGTTCGCTTTTATTCAAACAAATCAACGAACGAGTCGTCATTGAAGACTAAGTCGGGCTCTCTGTGTTTCTCGTAGTTTTTGATACCAGAAGGGCATCGACAGCGGATCGCCTGAAAGATGAGAGGGAGCTGTTGGTAGTTGGCGTATGCGTTTGCAGTTTGACTTTTTTCTCGACAAATTCCGTGGACGAGCTGGTAAAGCTCTTTGTAGATTTTTCGGCGACCTTCAGCATCCTCCAACTTGTCAGGTTCATTATCCTTCGGTGGTGATAATTGCTTAGGTTGATTACCAGTAACGTAGATACTCATCTTTGCTCCTCTGCCTTCTCCAACCGCTTTCTGAGCCGGCTGTGATTGGACTAGTCGACGCCTCATGGCCGTCTCCTGTCTGTGACATCGCGAATAGGTGGAAAAACAGCGAGAGCTAAAATGCCGAAAATAGGAATATCGAACATAAAAAATATCGAAAACATAGATGACGAAAAATTTAATATTGAATCCCGAAATATCGAAGAGAAAACGTCGAGTGTAAGAGTGATGAATTCGATTATCCGTATCTTCAGAAAAACAAAGAGCTCATTTTAGCTTAGTCTTCTCTCGTTCACGACTATTCCCATTGACATCACTAACTGACAATCAACAAGATTCTTTCTCTGGCTGTATACAGCCTGGTCTTCTGTTCTTATTATCATTCGATCCTTTTCTTGTATCGATTGGTCCAATGATCATCTAGGAAAATCCTCCACGTCGCATTCATAAGTCCTTTACCATCCCGACGGCTAATTTCCACAATCGTCATTCTATTTCCCTCAAACACTATTCAAATGTCAACGATCGTTCAGTTTGTGACTAGTAACAAAGACAAACCTTTAGTGGTGTACGATGGATATATACACAAGACGAACAAGACTACGACAAAGGTCAAATATTGGGTTTGCCAACATGGTACATGCAATGCTACCGTTCACACTGATTCCAATGATCAGTATTTGAAGAGTAAAGAGAATCGCGGAACTCATCTTCCATCTCAGGAGCAGATCGAGCTGAGGACATTCAGAGAGACTATGAAGAAACGCACTGCTGAGGAAACCACTGCTATCGGAATGATTTATGACGAGGAATTAGCTCGTGCGAACTTATCTCACACGGCGTTGACGATCGTTCCATCTGCGAACGAAGCGAGTCAGTGTCGAGCTTCCTCTCGTCCCTCTGCCATACGTTATCTTCAATAGAATCTTCACTGAATCGTGTCTGTCGGCAGACAACACCGAAGTTACCATCTTCCAATGACTTTGAAATTCCCCAGTTCTACGCAGCGACACTCAGTGATCGTCGGCTCTCCTTCTCGCTGACATCACGAAATACAAGAAAAGAATAAATCATCTCTGCTACTGACGAACAGTTGACTCTTCTCTTCAAAGCGAAACAAGTGATGATGGACAGTACGTTTGATGCGTGCCCTCCTCATTTTGATCAACTGTATACGCTTCACGGAATTAAACACGGCAAGTGTAAGTCTCTCTCGTCTCTCTCCTCTCTCATCCATTAGCTTAGATTCTATTCTCATTAGCATATCTTTGCGTGCTTGCTCTCCTCTCGAGGAGATCAACCAGCATTTATCAACCACTATTCACTGAACTTGAGTCACGCCTCTCGCTTGTAAGTGGACTTCAGTCCCACACGAATCATGTCTGACTTCGAAAAGGCTTTGGTGAAAGCTGTCCAACAACGAGTAAGTGAATTTCAAATGAGTTTCCACACAAACCTCTCCTCTCTCTCTTAGCTTCCGCAATCTTGACACAATGCATGTCACTTTCATTTCTGTCAGTCGCTGTATCGCAAGATCCATAGTCTGGGATGCCGTCACACAACTTGCTGCTCAAAGTTGGTTCTTCCATTATGCTTCTGAGGAACCTGGATGCTCCAAGACTATGCAATGGTACAAGACTGTGTGTAAAAAGTCNTGTCACTTTCATTTCTGTCAGTCGCTGTATCGCAAGATCCTTAGTCTGGGGCTTGCATCTGTCTTTCGTAATAACGATCCCGTTCGGTCGATCTGCCGTCAACTGATGGCAATGCGTTACTACCTATTCGGGAAATCGAATACGCTTTTGACGAGCTTGTGTCTGCACCTCCTCAAGAACTGTCACCATTCATCGATTACTTTCGCAATTTTTGGCTTCGACAAACATCCATCGAACTTAGGAATGTTCACAATCTCGACATGAGAACAAATAATCAGTGCGAGGGTACGATGTCTACAAGAAGAGAGTACTCGTGAATGTCTCGTCTCTTCGTTCCAGGGTGGCACAGCAGGTTCAACAAGCGTG